GACATAGCAGATAAAAGCTCCACACGGATCGCAAGACGGTGAAACAAGGGCTTCTTCACACTGAGGCAATCATTTGTTCGTTTCTGGTGAGGCCAATCTACGAACCTAGCACAGCAACATAACATTCACCTACACAACAAAATAAGCGGAATGGTATTAAAGCTCCGTAATTGAAGACTGTCTGTTCCAACAACTGTCAGTTTATCTAAGGTGGCTAAGTAGAAGAGAAGCCTAAAAGACAATGCATGAACAAGCTTTCACTTCATGGAATGAAGGCTATCTCGTTTTATTAGGTACGGGGAAATAGCTTAAAGGGCTTACATGAAACCCTTCTTGATTCATGTGCTCATCAATCGATGACCCTGCGTTGCGCTCTATAAAGTCGATGCCACTGGCATGTCGTTGCAAGGCCTCCTGCATGACATCCGACAAGACCTGTTCCTGAGCGCTCAAACAAACGCGCTTAATTGGAACTGTGCCCGTTGGCCAACCGGCTGCATCATCTGACGGAAACCAACGCCAAACAGGACGCGAAAGGATGCTATTGACTGACGCGTTTGCAGTGGCTCGGGCCACGGCCTCAAGCAATAGCTCGTCTGGCTGGTCGAGCTCTGAGGTTCCGGAAGCCTGGCCGTCAGGAGGATGCGGCGATCCATGGCCTGAACCCGAAGCTACTCCGGTGGAGACGGAGCGAGTGCCCATTGAAGCAAGACTAGAGGCGGCGCGAAACAGTGAAGCTTGCAGACCTTCTGTAAGCAGGTAAAAATGACAATAAAGACAAACTATGATTGTAATTAGGTAAATTTTAAAAAGAATTTATAAATTTTTTTTTCAAATAATAATTATTCATAGAATTTAGAACAGATTGTTATTTACATACGATTATGTGTTTACATGTAAATAAGTATTGGATTCTAAAGAAACCAGTAGCTAAAAATATGCCAATGAGAAGCCGGCCTATCCATCGGAAGTTTTGACTGATAAAAGAAAGTTGATCTCTAAAAGCATAACTATGAGTATCGGGAATGGGGCAATAATAAGTTATCGTAAATTTCGTTTTGTACAGAAGTCCACTCAGATTAG